GGTGGCCCAAATAATACAACAAACTTGGAGCCCATTTTACAAGATCAACCCAGTCTAGGCCCAAACCCGGTTCAAGCCCATATGACCTAAACCCAATTAGGGTTTTCACATCTCATCTCAACCGCCAGCATCTACAACCGTTGGATCTGGAACTCTAGAGTTCCAACGGTCCAAATATAATCTAGCAGAAACTCTAGAGTTCACCAACCCTAGAACTATTTCGGCCGCCGCCTCCAGGTGTTCCAACCAGATGCTGCCACGGCGCCGCCGCCTCTAATAGAAGGATCCAGAAGAATCGATGATAGTCGCACACTTCATCATCTATATGGTGAGTCACCATCGTAAATCTGATGACTCACCGAACGAACAGTGTTTTAAGGGCTATAAAAAGCCTTGATTTCCCTGCAAAAAAGAACACAACAGAAGAAAGAGAGAGGAGCAAGAAACCAAAAAAAATGGGCAACAAACCAAAATAGAGAGAAGAAACCGAGAAGAAACTTACCCTCGAAGAAGCCTATTGTCGCCGGAAACCGTCGGATTTCGAAGGTAAAAACTTATATCTATTAAGATTAAAGAGTTTTTAGAAGAAATAAAGGTCATATTTGGGTTTAGGTTGGAGAGATCTACATTTTGGGGGTAATTTAAAAAATTCCAACCACCGTGAACAGTGGTCGGCGGTGGTCATCGGTGTCGGATCTCGGCTTCCGACAGTGACCGAATTTCTTCCGGGGAGAAAGTTTAGAGAGAAGGAAAAGAGAGTTCTCTCCTTAGAGATAAAACAAAAAATGAAAAAATGAGGAGATGAAGGTCATTTTTGGCCATTTAAGGGTATTTATGCCCTCACCAAAACTACGTCGTTTTAGTGAGGGGTGTCTCTGTAATTTCTTATATGAGAAAATCATGTATTCAATACTTAGACTTCGTAAGCTTTCTATTTTAGTCACTAAAATCAATTTAGGTGCATTTTTATTTTATTTTTGAATTTTATTTTATTAATAATTTAGTCACTTTCTCATGTTTATATATTTTATGGTAAATAACATATTTAGTCCTTTTAATTATAATATTTTATATATTAATAACTGATTAATAATTAAGGATAAATTAGACTACTAGTATTAATATTTTTATAATATTTCGAATTATGACCAATAATTTATATATATTTTATTTAAATCTTATATTATTATTTTGGTTATTATTTAATTGCAAATTTTATTTTATTTTTACTATTACCTTTTATAATTAAATATTTTAAATCTAATACTTATTTATTATTTTTATCATATGTATCCTAATAATCTATACTAGTGTTTAAAATAAAATAAAATGATATTTTATTAAAAATAAAAAAATTGGAATGGAAGAACACTAAGTTTTGTTCATAAAATTTACTATATTTTAATATTAATCCACGTTTTTAATTAATTATATTATTTTACTTTAATTTTTGTTTTTTTATAAGAGCACTAACTTTTGTTCTTAAAATTTACTATATTTAAATCCTAATCTCATGTCTCCACTTTCAAATATATTTATAAGAGCACTAACTTTTGTTCATAAAATTTATTATATTTTAATAAACCCACGTTTTTTTATTTTAATTATAATGCTTCATTTTTTTATTTGTTTTCTTGAAATATGTATTTTATTCTCTTAATTTTAATATTTTTAATATTTTCATATTATTAGAGGATTATTTACAACTATAGTACTTAACGTATAAGAAAGTTAGTTTCGATAATTTTAATATTGTCATAAAGTGACTATAAGAAAGTTACTTTCGATAATTTTAAAATGAAAGTATATCCCTTCAAGTAACACCAATTAAATCGAACCCATTTTTAAAATTCAGGATTGAGGAAAAGATCATATTCTTCTAATTAAATTCATCGAGAAAAAATAGTTAGATCAAATATATGGTCTCATCTCGAGATATTTAATTAATTAAATATCTTTATTCTCATTAAATATTGGTAAAATAAATAATATAATTGATTGCTTAATCTCTTTTTAATTTGTTTGACTCTTACATATGTTCACTTTAAAAATTATTTTGGGTATTATTATTTTGAAATTTAAAATGAAATTTTAATATTTTTTTATTTCAATTATAGTAAGAACCGATTGCTTCAAGGTATGATATATCAGTTCTTCTCGATAGGAAATAATTAAATATTATTATCTTTCATCCAAAATTTCTAAAAATGTTATTTTAGGAGATCTTAAATTAAATTAGACTCGAGCTTATACATTTTATTGTAAAGACAATTAATTAATCAACTAGGTATTATTTATGACATTGTGGGGGTGCTAATCCTTCTACACACGTAACCGACTCCCGAACTCAAATTTTGGTAACGCAGGCCCCAGGTTTGTCTTTTTAATTAAAATTCATATTTTATTAAAATGAAAAAGTTATTTTTGGTGCCCAATCACACCCTAATCAAATATTAGTGGCGACTCTTCGAACCGTACATTTTATTTTAAAAAGGAATCCAAAATTTTTCGAAATGAGAGTCTTTTTTTTTTAAATCACATTCACTTTTCACAAAGAGAATAATTAAAAATTAGTGTGGTTTTTAAAATCTTATCTCGGGTAAAATACTGTTTCGACAAAGTTGATTGTTAATATATATGTTGTCATGTATCTCCAATGTCAGTGATGGATTCCAAACTTTAACTTCGTCAAGTTGAAGCTCACTTTTACCTTTCTCTATATTGGGTTTGGGTTTACTAGGGTTTTAGTTCTCCGGTTGAACGAGGGGTGTAAATGAGTCGTGTCGAGCTCGAGTAGTGCTGAGTTCGACTCGATTCAAAAATTCTGAAATGAAGCTCAACTCGATTCGAAAACTCGCGAGTTTAAAATTTTTCATGAACTGAAGCTCGTTATTAGCTTGAAAAGGCTCGAAATGAAGAAAAAAAATTCTTAAACTTAACTCGATTGAAGCCTCAAACTCGAACATGAACTTTAAATACATAAAAATCTTACTGTATTTTTAAAAAAAATCATACTGTATTTTTAAAAAAAATCAATACATAAATGTTAATATTATTTATAATTTATATTTTAAAAAATAAAATCTTAATATATTATGTTTTCGAGTTGCTCACGAGCTTTTCGAGCCGAATATCAAGTAGATCGTTTCGGCTCGTTAAGAACTCGAGTTGAGCTCGAGTCGAGTCCATTCGATCTGAATATTTATCGAGCCTTAATTGAGTCGATCTCGAGTAGCTTGTGATCAGTCTCGTCTCATTTAGAGCTTTATGTTGAACAAGTGAAATAGTGACTCGGTTTAAGCACCAACTAAAAGATTTTGAAGAGTTTTGTGGTGTTTAAACGGTATCGAATTCAACTAAGGAGGGTTGAGAAATAGGTCGTAGCTAGGTGGAGGAGGATGGAGTTGTTGTTAGACATGGTTAGTAGGGATTAAATTGAAAGATTATTAAAATATTAATGATTAATTTTTAAAATGAAAACTAAATTAAATAAAGGATAAATTTTAAAAATCAAACTTATTATTATATCATTTTTTGAAAAGGGGTGTTTTATAGCTTTGCAAGGGTTGGAATTACATTATTATATTAATTTTATTAATTACACATCGTCTGATAATTTTTTTAACAAAAACTTATTACTTTGTTATTTTATGATCATTTTATAATTTCTTTTAAATCATAAGACTCAATAAAATTATGTTCTATAGTTAGAAGATTATCTATGTATTTTATATAGGGGTCAACAAGTTGATCTCGACATTAGATATGGTAAACGGGTACAATTTCGTAAATTTTGTACTGCATCCGGTCCAATTGGAGCGGATATGGGTATACATTTAGTAGATAGTGGGCGAGTGTGGATGTAAAAAGTCATATCCGCCTTGAGTAGTAGGTAGATGATGGGTTTGAGACCTTACTCACCTCGCATCTGCCCATCAATTAACTACTCACCATATAAATTTTGGATCATTATGAATTTAGGTATAATTTTATATACTATTCTGTAAGTCTTAAGATTTTATAGGATATGAATTGTAATTTAACCAACTATTCAACTTATATAATATGTGAGGTTTTTGCCGGGCGGGTATCGGCTGGTATAGGCGGGTACGGGATAGGGGATGGGTATCTAGTTGACTAGTAGGTGTGGGGATGGATTTGAGAATGTATAAGCGTGGACGGATATAGATTTAAAAATTTTACCTGTGGGTATGAGGATGGGGAAAAGGGTATCCACACCTACCCTACTCGTTTGCCATAAACTTCGAGTTGTAACTTCATAAACTCAACCCGATTTTTTTAAATTCAAGTATAGTTATAAAATAGAACTCGAATAATTCAAATAGTAACTCAAATAACTCGAATTTTTTAGTACTTAGTAGATTGATTTTCAAGTTTGAGTCGAGTTCCTCGACTTCGATTTTGTATGATATATGTATATCACATATGAAAAAAATATAAACAAATATATATGTATTGTATATGATTATAGAAAATCATTTAAATTGAAATCAAATAATATCATTATATTATAAATATTTACAATTAACTTTAAATAGAAACTCGAACAACTCGATTAGACTTGATTGAATATTTACCCCTAATTTTACCCTAAAATATTGTACATGACTTTTTAGGCTTAATATAAAACAAGGTGCCTAAATTTTTTTGGTCAATTTAAGTGTCCAACGTTCCAAACGTTAAACACGTGACATCATTCGATTGGATGGTTAAATTTATTTTAATTTATTAAAATAAGACCAAATTGAAAGGATATGTAAACAAAAGAGACCAGATGTGTTATTATACCAAATAGTTAATTACCACGTGAGCATTTTCGTCAATCATTAATAACTAATGACTTGATTGACTATAATTAAATTGTTAGATAATCTAATTGATAAAATTAAAAGATCGATACTAAAAGTAAAAGGACTAAAATAATTGAGTAGTCAATAATATAGTTGACTCTAAAAAAAATTGCCGAACTATAAATATTAGTAGATTTGACGTTCTTATTTTTATTCACGCTTCATCTTCGATATTTCTGTGAAATTAGGGTTTATTACTATTCTTCTTTTTCCTAGTTTCAGCTAAGAAAAATGGCAACTGAACAACAAAAAACGGCGAAGGAAGAAGTAAAGTTGGATTTGTTCGAAGACGACGATGAATTTGAAGAATTTGAAATCAATGAAGGTAATTCTTTTTCCCTTTTGTATCTACTTTTTTTCTTGTAAAAAAAAAATCCTGGATGCTATTGTTAAACTTTAATTTTAGGTCTATGTCAAGTAATTCTGAAAAAAATGATGCCGATTAGCTTGATTCTTTCGTTTTCCTCTCTATTTGTTGAAGTTGAGTTCTATAAACTTATGACGAACTGTTCGTTTCGTTAAACTTGCATTGTTCCGGTTGTAGTTAGATCGAGTATTTTCCTCAGCAACTTATATTTAACTTAAGAATAAGGTAGGGATATTTTTGCTGCGATACTTGATGGAGTCGAACGGGTCACGGCTTCTGTTGTAAATAGAATTTGAAAGATGTGATCAAATGAATCTAACATTATCAATGTTTGCAGCATTAGCTGCAAATCTCCTTTTTTTCCATGTATGCTGGAGTTTGTTCCTCTTGGTATGTTATACATCTAGTATCTGCTGCCTGGGCTCTTCTCATTTACTGGTTACTTGAAAGTACAACAAGGATTAAAGATTGTCTTATAGCTTGTCTCTTTGCTCTCTTAAGAAAGTGGAAAAAAGCATATTACACAACAAGAGTCTCAACCAAGATGCTTTTGGGTGAGGGAAATCGTCATAGTCAGCCAGCAAGCAATTCCAAGAATGCCAACTACATAGTCTTTCTTATTTCCACCACTATCATAAACTGAGAAATAGATTAGGAAAAATCTGCAGGGGCTATTATCGACAGGTTATAGAAGTGTTTGTTTGTGCCGTTAAACTCCTAACTTTTTACCTAGATAACCATATTATACAAGATCTAGTTTGAAATCTTGGGTAAATTATTGTTGAAAATCTATGCAAAGTAAATTGGTTCTTGATTCATCAAACTCTCTTTGCAGTCCACAAGCTGTTGACTCTCTTGTATATAATGGATGAATTATACTGATATCAACTTTTGTTGGGGTAAGAGCTTGCCTTTGTGTGTGCCACATTTTAGTCTAATAATTCTTTTAGTGAGCTCCAAGCTGAACTGACCTATTGTCATCCATTTGACTATGGCAGTTTTTGAAATTCACAAGATTTGAGATGTCACCTTATAGCCATATTATCCTTCCACAAGCTCAACTTTAAAGTCTGGTAATGACAGAGAAGTATGGTTTTGCTCTAGTAACATATGAGAATGAAAAGTCTACTGATTTCTAGAGTTTGTTCTGGTACCAGATCACAAGCAATCTATCGTGTTCGGAAACATGTAAAGCCTGATGCAAGCAATCTATATGCCACTAATTACATTGTTGTATAATGCTGATTTCAATCTGTGTGCTGCTTGCTAACTAATGCTCTTATTTTAGTTACATGTAGTATACTTTGCCCACTCTCGTATTTTGAAATATGCCATCTGCTTCTTCAAATCACCACTTGTTTCCTTTGGGTAATGGTACTTGGATCATGAGATTTTGCCTCTTGTCATTGTAAGCTGATGAATCTGTGTTCGATTATCCAATAATACATTTTTGAAATCTGAACAATTTTGTTTTGGTTTCAGACTGGGGCAATGAGGAAGAAGGGAAGGAAGTGGCTCAGCAGTGGGAAGATGATTGGGATGATGATGACGTGACTGATGACTTCTCACTGCAACTGAGAAAGGAACTCGAGAATAACACTGAGATGAAGTGAGTTTGAATCGTTTGTCTCTCATGGTTTCGATGTGCTCTGCACACTTGCTTGTTTGAATGAATATTCCTTTCCTTGCAAAAAATAATGTATGGACTTTTTAACTTGTTTTAATAGGCTTGGATTGTATGTTTGGTCTAAACTTTGAATGCAGAAATTGGTTTTATGGTTATATAGCCTTTGATTTAACTCTGCTCAATGCCACGAGCTTGTGCTTTGTTAAACCTAGTTTTCTTTACCTAAGAGTTGTGTCAATATCCTTATATTTCTTCCATTGCTATACTTGGTTTTTCTTTTTTCTTCTTTTCTCGGATTTAAATAATAATGCTATTACACCCAATCTAAAAAACAAAATCAGGGTCATTAACAGTACAAATTTATATACATATTATGGAAATCAAAAAATCTATCAAATTGGTGCCTGTAAAAATCTATCAAATTTATATACAAGGGTTAACTATGTGTTTATTTAGTTATCAGTTTTGGTTCGTTTTAATACGTAAATTTTCCATTTTTTTTAAAACTATACTCGGTGTTTAAATTTTGTTTTATTTTAGTGTCCCTTAAAAACAACATTAAATTTTGAAAAAAATGGAAGTTTAGGTATTAAAACGGACTAAAATTGATAGTTTAGGGACTAAATGTATTAAGCTTTTGATGGTGGTGTATTAACATGAAACAAAAATTAAACATTAGGTATGATTTTGAAAAAATTAAAAGTTTAGATACTAAAATGGGTTAAAATTAATAGTTTAGATACCAAACATGTAATTTATCCTAAAGCCAAATAATTATGTACCCAATTAAAAAAATATAGAAATGATCTAGTTATTGTAATTTATCTCTAAATATATAAGAGATAATTATATTATTATTTCGGGTTGGGTTAAATGTTTTTCACCATAAACTTAAACTCGATCAACTCGTTCATATGCTTAAAAAATCAATCCGATGTGAATTGAAATTATAAAAAAATATATCCAACTTTATAAGATTAAGTTAGAACTTATTAAATTTCAGGTCTCATATTCATCCCTAATTATCATTATGATTATAATAAAAATGAATTAAAAATTTAAGTAATTTCATTACAAGTTTAAAAGGTTTGTGAGCAAAATCAAATACTCTAAAGTTTAGGAATAATTTATGTAGTTTATCCAATAAATTATTTTTAAAAAAATATTTTTTCAATTTTAAGTCATTGCAAAATATCTTGTTTAGGGGTGTAAACGAGCCGAGTCGAGCTCGAGTATTGTCGAGCTCGACTCGAACTCGAAAACTTTAAATGTAGGCTCGACTCGACTCGAAAACTCTCGAGCCTAAAATTTTCAAGCTCGACTCGAACTCGAAAGATAATATTAAAACTCGACTCGAACTCGAAAAGGCTCGAACTCAAAAAAAATTCAAGAGCTCGATTGAAGCTCGAGACTCGAGCTCGATTGAAGCTCGATTTTGAGCTCGATTTTGAGCTCGATTTTGAGCTCGATTCAAGCTCAAACTCGATTAAAGTTCGAACTCAAACTCGAATTTGATCCTTAGGGGTAAATTAGCTTTAGGCTCTCTAGATTTATGCGTTTTGTACAAAACAGTCCCTCAATTATTTAAATTTTAGCTTAAATTAGTCCTCACATTTAGATTTTTCTTAATTTAGTCTCTGTTTAGGATTGTTTTCTTTAATTAGTTGTGTATATTTATTTTGCATGTTGATATGTTTATGTATAAGTATGTGAATAATTTATTTATGAGCCACATAACATCATTTTGCATAATTTGTATGTTACCTTCATGGCATAACTTAAACCCTAACACATAAACCCTAAACCTTAACACATAAACCCTAAACTCTAAATTTTAAACCTTAAATCCTATCACATAAACTCTAAATCCTAAACCTTAAACCTTATCACATAATTAGTTATGAGGTAAGTACAATATAGTATCTTGATAAATGCTCAAACCCTTGATATTTATGATATTTGAACCCAAAACCTCAAAATATAACAACAATTTAAAAAATTAGTTATTACAAATATTTTCATTAGAAATATATTAAATATTTGTCATTAGAGAAATAATTTTTTTTATCAATTTAAAATAAATATAAGAATATTTATTCAAAAATAATTTTTAACCATTTTCAATTCAAGAATATTTATTCATCAATAATGTATTTTTAATATATTTTTAATAATGTAATTTTAAAAAATATAAAATTATAATATAATATTTTTTCGAGCTGCTCACGAGCTTTTCGAGTCGAATATCGAGTAGCTCGTTTCGGCTCGTTAAGAACTCGAGTCGAGTCCATTCGATCCGAATATTTATCGAGCCAAGATCGAATCGATCTCGAGTAGCTCGCGATCTGTCTCGTCTCATTTACAGCCCTAATCTTGTTCATAAATAAATAATATAAAAAATAGGATATTTATTTATAATTATTTTTAAAATATAAATGAGAGGCTTGGGCCTTCTGTCGCAGGCTCAGTTGAATCGGAAGGGTGAGCGAAGCCGAGGAGTTTCCGTTATCCTTATTTATTTATTTATTTTCTTTTCTCTCTCCCAAAATTAAAGCCAAGCGAACTTGAACAAAATAGAAGATAAAAGAAGAAGAAGAAGAAAATTAGGGTTCTTAATCACCCAATTGTTTTCAGAAAATCTGTTCTTGTTTTTTTTTCATCAGAAGCTATGGAATCTGATTCGATCATCAACGCTTCTTCTCTTTCAGTCTCTAACTGCAAGGATATCTCCAGGAAGAAGAGGGTAGACTTCGTTTATACCTTTTTTTTAATCATTCTCATTTTCGATTTTTTTAAAATTTCATTTTTTTTCTTTTATTTTAATTGATTTTTAAAATGTTTTCGTCGAGGATTTTTCAGAGGTCTACAAAATTGAAGCAGTGCAAACTCGATGCTCGCCGTGAGCAATGGCTTTCTCAAAGTATGTTAATTGATATTATTGCTATTTTTTGTTTCCTTTTTTAATTGAGGTTTTTTATGGTTGTTGTTATTGTTATTATTATTCAATTTTGACTTTGAGTAGGTGCGGTGAAGAACAAGGTTTGTTGCAAGGAGGGAACCAAGGATGGCGATTCGAAGCAAGCCCCGCCGGGTGAAAGGGATCGTTCCTTCGAGAACTTTGAGATGAGGAGCACTGCTGCGGCTAATGGTGAGGGAGAAAATGTATCTGTACAACACGAGAGTGATTCTGAGTCTTCACCTCTGAATAGCCACACGAGCAGCTGCCTGCTGGGAGGAATGGATTCTGGAACAAGCTTCACCAATAGCAGCAGCAGTAGCAGCTCGAGTAGTGGCGGATGCTGTTCTGGCAATGTCACGGAAGAAGAAGGCGATGATGGATGCTTGGATGATTGGGAGGCCGTTGCTGATGCATTGGCTGCGGATGATGACAAGCAGGAAATGGACCCCAACGAGAATAACAAGGAAAACCCTTGTTTAGGATCTACCCCTGGACATGAGCCAAATCCCCAGTTTGGTTCGATCAGGGAAGGATCAGATTTGAGGGGTTCCAAACCTGAGTGTCCAAGAATGGTGCAGAGGGCAGAAGGGAGTACCAGGGCATGGAGGGCTGATGACACTTATCGTCCGCAAACTCTTCCTAATTTGTCAAAGCAACGGAGTTTTCCAGCTACTGACTGGCGTTTTCGTCAAGGAAGGGTGCCATGTGTGCGAAGCAGTGCAATTTCGGTGCCATCATCATGTCCCATATGCTATGAGGATTTGGATCTAACGGACTCAAGGTTTTTTCCCTGCTTGTGTGGTTTCCGGCTCTGTCTTTTCTGCCACAAGAGAATTCTTGAGGAAGATGGACGTTGTCCTGGTTGCAGGAAGCCGTATGAGCGTGATCCTGTGGAGGCTGAAGCTAGTGTTCAAGGAGGCAGTCTGACATTTAGGACGTTGGCTCGTTCTTGTAGCATGGTTGCAAGGTCTTAGAAGCAGTCTCTGTTTTTCGTTAATTATGTATGTTGGATTACTCTTTTCTTTGCTCCTACTTTATCGTGTGTTTTGTTAGTAGTAGACTCTGGGTTCCGTAGATTTAGTTGTGAGTATAATAGCATTATCTCTTTTGGCACCCGGGAATTGAGCTATGTTTCTATGAGTTTATTTCTTATCTGTTTGGTGAATGAGTTGATGTAGAGTACTCATCTTGGCATGTGAATAGATAAGGTGGTATAGAAATTCAGTACATAAAGAGTATCATAATAAATTCTGTGCCTCACAGTGTATCCAACTTCTATATTGAAGTTCTGAATTTCATAGTATTCTGTTTTGTTGGTAGTTCTATTACTCCTTAAAGTTCTGCAATTTTTTTTTTTTGCTTTAATGCATTCCTGTGGCGTTTACGGGCATTAGTATGACTGCTTTAACTAATTTTTATACCCCGGATGTGTGTTGTTTTCACTTTGAGATGAGACTTATTCAGGTTTAGATTTTATCTTAGAAAGGCTGTCGTAAGTGCACTAGGTTTGGGGGGTGTATCTCTATTTCACATCGTTTCATGTCATTTGCAGAATCCATCTGTGCTTTTGATAATTTGTGCATGCTATTTGTCCTTTATACTGGTTGGGGAGGTTGGTAATTAGCCTTTCTATCAATTTTGCATAAAAGTTGCTAATTGGAACAATGTAAACTGTCTCTTTAGATAGTTGGATGTGAAACCCCAAGATGTATCTGTTCTGTTTCCATGGTTTCGTCTACTCTTTTTTCTTTTTATAAATAATAAATTAGATGACGAACAATCTTTAGTATGGGATACAATGGTTTAGAAGTTCATCACTTATAAAGAGGATCAAAATGAATGACTACTACTAGTCTGTTAATGGTGTACTTTGTAAGCTAAGGCATCTTATAATTTCTCCAATTTGTAGGTATACCATTGTATTAATGTTTGAGCAAATTGTTGATCTTAGTATGCCAGACCTGGATGATTTTGTTAGGTTCATAGCTTTTCTCTTTGAAAGACCTAGTGCTGAAAATATGCTCAACCTGATCCTAAGACCTACATTGCCAATTGTTGTGGAGTTAGGCATGAGTTTCAGATATAAGTATGTTTCTGTATCGGTCATATCTCGATTCTAATGTGTCTAATATATCCTACTCTTAACGAAATCGGTATACTTACAGTTGTGCTAAAACACATGAATGTTTTCTAATGTCATCTGTCTAGTAATTCTCATTGCTTTTTACGCCTTAGATTGCTAACAGTTGGCAAAATTGTCAAGTTTTGCTCCTTTTCTGTCGTTGACTTTGCCTCTTTGGCTTATGCTGCATTTCCGAGTATTTAATTGTATCCTTTTCCATGATATATTAATCTTTAGAAATTGATTTTTATATATGATGATGTGTTTGTTTCCGAAACTCGGCATCTGAGGCTATTTTCCCCAAAAATCAGCCTACACCTATATATTTTCCTGTAAGTCACCGTTCAGGTAATATTTTTTGATCTAACACCCTTTACAGAAAGGCGCGCCACTGCACCGCGCCTTACACCACGTGGGGTAAGGCGATCTCCTGCAGCGCGTCTTGTTAAACGTGTAAAAAATTCGGGTTTTAATTTTATAAATATTTTAAAAGTGGTGCTTAATATGTAATTAATTTCTGTTAGGGTGATATTTGTGTAAAAACGTCAACTTTATCTATTTATTTTTTTTTATATTATTTTTAACAACAGTTAATAATGTTTATTGACTTTTAAAATTAATTGTTTAAAAATATTAAAATAAACTTTTAATTATAATTGAAAGATCAAATGAATTATTATTTATTTTTTTTTAAAATAAATAAAAATGCAATAAAATGAATTAAAAATGAATAAAATTCAATAAAAATATAATGTAAAGTTAAAAATATCACATCTTTATTTAAAATATTATTTCTAATATTAATTTTTAAAAATATAAAATAAATATTAAATTTTATTAAAAATGAATAAATATTATTAATTGTTGTTAAAAATAATAATTAACGACGAGACAAAATATTATATTAAATATTATTAACTGTTAAAAAATAATAATTAACTCTTTGATCGATGTTTATTCGTGGTACAATTGAGTTGATATTTAGACAGCAGTAAGACAATTTTAAGTTATTGACTTTGTACAATCGAATTTTCATTCGATTCTTGTAGCTTTCCACACCTACGATTGTTTAACAATCATAAACTTGACTAAAATAAACTTTTAATTACAATTGATAGATCAAATAAATTATTATTCATTAATTATTTTTTTAAACAGTTAATAATGTTTATTTATTTTTAATATAATTAAAATTTAATATATATTTTATATTTTTTAAAATTAATATTAGAAAGAATATTTTAAATAAAGAGGTGATATTTTTTAGCTTTACATTATATTTTTATTGGATTTTATTCATTTTTAATTCATTTTTATTGAATTTTTATTTATTTTTAAAATAATGAATAATAATTAATTTGATATATCAATTGTAATTAAAAGTTTATTTTAATATTTTTAAACAATTAATTTTAAAAGTCAATAAACATTATTAACTGTTGTTAAAAATAATATCACAAAAAATAAGTAGATAAAGTTGGCGTTTTTACACATATATCACTCTAACAGAAATTAATTACATATTAGGCATCAGTTTAAAAATATTTACAAAATTAACACTCAGATTTTTTACACGTTTAACGGTGCACGCCTTACCCCATGTGACACCAGATCAGCCTAAAATGCGTTGTAGGGGCACGCTTTTCTACGAAAAATATTAGATCGAGAAATATATCATGAACGGTGCATGACAGGAAAATATATAGGTGTATGATACTTTTTGGGGAAAATCGCAGGCTTCTGAAGATAAGTTTTGATTTTTTTTAATATAAAAAATAGGTATTAAATATTCAAAATTTAAAGTTAATATGTGCATATAAATATGTATTTAGTATAGGTTGAAAGCGTATTTAACATAAAACTTATTGAAAATAAGTAATAAAAATATATATTTAAAGCCACCAATAAATTGAAACGACGTGTTAAAAAGTATACGGACATCCGAAATACAATGAGACGAATTATAAGCGTAATATAAAAGCATTGAAAGCGATAAAGCAAATTGAGAAACACTTTTATCTTAAAATAAAATGGCAAGGTTACAATTTAATCTTGATTCTAAAATTTTAAAAATACAATTATAAAAAGGGTAAAGTATAGTAATGGTCAATGAGCTTTTCTAAAACTTTCATTTAGGTCCCCAAACTTTTAAAACTTGTAATATAATCCCTCAACATTTAGTACGTTTACAATATGGTCCCTCAATATTTAGTCCATTTGAAATATGGTCCCCGATGTAACTGTTAGGGGACCATATTGCAAACGGATTAAATGTTAGGGGATTGTATTGTAAGTTTTAAAAGTTGGGGAACCTAAATGAAAGCTTTAAAAAATTCAGTGACCATTACAATACTTTACCCAAAAATTAATTATCCAAAAAAAATTACCTCAATGAATGTAATACTGAACAAAGAAAAAGCGCTTGTTAATAATGTCATAACAGGTGAAGCATGCACTAGCAACAAGCTTCCCTCCAATTTTAAAATCAAATCAGAAGACAAGAAAGAATTTGTACAGATGATGTTGCAGACTCAAAATCTCATCCAAGGTCTCTCTGTTAGCTCTTATTATCCACTGGAAATAGCTAACCGAAACTCAAAAATAAAAATAAAAAATGGGGAAATTAAGGTTTGGCATCACTTGGAAGCATCAGGATTGGGTTTCACTTTGTTATCAGCCTCAGCCGAAGCTAAAGTCTCCGGTTTTGGTTGTCCAGTTCCACAATTAGCAGTAGCAGCAATATCCTTCCCTAGTGAAGCGGGTTTATTTTCTCAGTAGAATCTGCTGCTTTTGAACCTTTTCCATTCTTGGCGTCCTTTCTTTCCTTTTCATCTTTATTTTCCTTTCTGTTTTTGCCATCTTTGGGTGGAGGATTCTGTTTAAGCTTAACGAAAATATGCCTCATTCTCGAAAGATCAGTTGGTTTCCCCAGTTTTGGACCATGAATTACCGACACCGAAGGAGTTTTATCGAAGTCTTTCCTTCCTCTCTTCTTCTCGATATTCGTCAGCTCTCGAGGAATGATCTCAGCTATTGCTTTCCAGTAATGCAGGTGAGCTTCTTTGTGGAACTTGCCTTGATTAGCTAAGTATAGTTGCATATCAACAACACGAAAGATCAATTCAGATCTTCAGCCTCGTAAACAAGTGAAGAGAATTCGGATAACCACAAATGCTTGTTTCTTCTACCTTCTCTCTTTCTCTATTGTTAGCCTTATCAGTTTCGTAGTTCTGATTCCTTTTCTCGTAAAACGATCGCTTGTACTCATCTGCTTCGGCGATTATCTGATCCTGCATCTCCCTCTCTTTTCCCCTTCTCCTCCAGATGAATGGCGTTTAAGCTGCACCGGAAGGAATTTAAAAACAATTAATGAAATGAGATATTACGAAAAGAAGGGAAAATGAAACAAACCGACGCCATTCGCGTCGTGTGAAGTTTTCCTTTTGCATATGATCAGGCGGAGGCAACACTGGTCCTTCAGAGGCGAAAAAACCATCATCATCAACATCATGACCACGACCATTACCGTCCATCGCAAACCCTCCAAGAGAGGTCATGAACTCAGCGTTGGGCGCCAAAAACCCGAACCCATAAACGTCCGACGAAGGTTGCTCGTTATGATTGTCGATATTATTATCAATGTTGTTATTGTTAGTGACAATATACCCAAGGTTTTGACTGTGACTTCTACTGCATGTGGTTGTGAGCGATGTAAGTAGAAGTATCGGCAGTGAGATCATCGTAAGGGAAAGCTTGTGGAGGAGGGAAAGAGGAGGAACCATGGGCCCCCTTATTTAAGACATCGTCGTCGAAAGAGCTAGAATAGAAATTAATGTCTTCTTTTCCGTCATTGTTCGTGGCAGTGAAGGACTCCATTGATGAACAAGTGGAAAATCCTAAAAGTTTTGGTCGCGCTATAGGGATTCTGTGGCAGTGCGAGGGTTTTCGAATCCAAGAGAGGGAAGATGAAGTTCGTTGGCTTCGCTTATATCATTATATTAACAACTAGGGTAAAGTATAATAATGGTCACTGAACTTTTCTAAAGCTTTCATTTAGATCCTCTAACTTTTAAAACTTGTAATACAATCCCTCAACATTTAATCCGTTTGCAATATGATCTCCAACAATGACATCAAGAACCATATTACAAACGGATAAATATTGAGGATTGTATTGCAAGTTTTAAAAATTGAGAAACCTAAATGAAAACTTTAGAAAAGTTAATAAACATTACTATACTTTATCCTTATAAAAAACATGATAACTCGATTGATCAATCAAATCATGTAAAAAGAGGATGAATTAACTCTTTTAACTCGATTGACCTACAATACATGAACAAAAAGGAATACCATTCGTATCTCTCTCTTAATTTCCTGTTTAAGGTCCTAATTAGTTCTTGTCAGCTTCTAAATAGGCCTTTGCTATGTGCCATTCACACATTATCTTTCCCGGGGAAACATAGAGGATATAGACAAAAAAAACACCCAAAAAAAGGAAACAAAAGATAATGAGGGGGGAATTAGTCACGGTCGCACAATTTCGCCCTCTTCGATGAATGCAGAGGTGATGATAGTATTTCTGAGGTCACTAGGTCATAGCCAAATGGTGCTGTAGTTGACGAGAATGGTAGTGCGGATGATAATGATGACGGTAATAATGCAGTATGGTTATCGTCTTCTAACTTCCTTTTGTTGACTCTTCTCCCTTCTTGTTCCTCTGTTCCACCTCTCGTTACGCAGTCTCTCATCAACCGTTTTACGTCCGACAGTTTCACGGGCTTGACTAGAAACTCCTCCGCCCCCTCCTCCAAGCAACTGGACACCAAAAAAAGTGTTTTAAATCATTGTTCGAAGTAAACGAAAAACGATCATATACCACATTACTTATGAGAAAAACAAACGGCAAGATCAAGCAAGCACAGATGCATATATAAAGTCATCGAGGACAATCTAGCTAAACCTAGAGATAATCAAAATACTCGAATCGGACGAGTCCTAGACCTGACCTTACGTGAAGGAAAAAATCACAGCCAAGAGATCCATAGAATATTAATCAGAATATTATTTTAGAGGACAAGACACAACCAGAGATTTAAATAACGGTATAAAATATCAGCTCCTAAAAAAATCAATTCCTTTTGAAAAAAAAAACGCTGCAGTGCTATAATAACATTCGTTATTACCACAATCGGATCTAAAACACAGTCGTAACCACAATTTAAATCCCTGGACAACTAGACATACGAATGATGTTTCAATGTAATCAAGTTTTTGGTTGGTCCGTTTCCCGCAAAAATCCAAACAAAATATAGAATCTTTTCAGTATTGTCATATCACAAAAATATATCAGATTTGGCTAAATCTTATCAATAACAGCAGATTCCTTCATTTCAATTTTCCCAGATTTCCTCTTAAAGTGAAAGTCTATCGAATATATTTCCAGATCAACTCCCAAACAGATTGGATTTTCCGAGAAAATCATCATCAGATAGAAATATAACAGCGTGTATCAATCACTACACCTATCAATACGAGCGAGGATGTTCTCAGAGGACATGATCACCACTGGAATTTCTCTGAATGCTGATGATCTCTGTTCCAAAAGGATCAGATGAAACATAATCAACAATCAAATTCCAAAATGTTTCACCTTCATTGATGATCAAATAAACTTACATGGGTATAAAAAAAATGACCTTGATTTTCTTGAGGAGTTCATATCCAGTCATTCCGGGCATGGAGTAATCAGTCATTATAAGATTCACCTTCAAACCCTGTAACAACAACAGTCATCAAACAGCAATTCAGCCATTTTAAAAAACACCACACAATCAATACCAAATTCCATCTGACATTTTTTTCTCGGAAACCAAGCAGATAGAAGAACTCACATTGAAACCCAGAGACCCTTTCTCTCCATCCAAACCAAGAAACTGCAAAGCTCTAGCCCCACTCTCCACAGCCGTCACTGCAAATAAAAAAATCTTCAAAATCCACTAAAAAGTACCCCACAACTTTTTATCCAAAACAAACCAAGCAGTACCTTTACAAGATGATATCTTCAGCAACATTTCAATAACCTTACGATCTACATAACTATCATCCACAGCAAGAACATGCAATTCCTGGGAGGACCCAGATGATAAAACCTCACCAGCAACCTCCATATTCCTTTAGACTGTTTATAGTTTTAGACACAAGGAAGCAACAATGTGGGTTTGGGTTTTTTAAATGAAGAAGAAAGAGAAGAAGAATCTTAGAAAAAGAGAGGTAAAGGCGAAGATTATGAAGATCCATCCAATATCGTATAGTAAGATCTTACCAAATCTTTCAAAAGCAGAGAGAGAGAGAGAGCATTATCCCCCACCTGTTCCTTGTCCTGTCAAATTCACTACGACTATTCCCTTCCATTCCCGTGTATTAATGTCAAAAGTAAATGGTGGATTTACGATGTACGTAAAAATCACCATTTAATGGAGGCAGGGAGACAAATCATATAAATAAATTGTTAACAGTGAATATAAGGGGATTTGGGGTACTTTTGATGTGCTGCGTTTAAAAACGATTAAAAAATAACGTGATCGGTTAAATCAGTGATAGGATAAATTTTAATCTGGTTATATTATATCATTTAATCGAAAATATTATTAAGTACAATAACATATTAGGTAGCGCTTATATAAGGTAATAGGTAGCGATTATATAATAAAATAGGCATTTAACCGAAAATATTATCAAGTACAATAACATATTAGGTAGAGCTTATATAATATAATAAGTAGCGCTTATTTTGACCTATTTTATAAGTAAATCGGTATATTTATACCGGTAACATTACAAATTTACCTATTACATTATAATTATCGGTTTCGATATTTTATGGATCGATACAATTTTAAATGTATCGACACTTTATGCGTGCATCTCGTTGGACATTCATTTTGGAAACAAGTATCGACACAAACTTAAATAGTGTCGATACATTATTTAGACCTATTTTTTTATAAAACCGGAATATTTCTATCGGGTACATTATAAATTTACCTATCACATAGTAATTATTGATTTCGTTGTTTTTGGGATCGATACTTTTAATAAATGTATCGACACTTTATGCGTGCACCTGTTTGGCATTCTTTATGGAAAAAATGTATCGACACAAATTTAGTAAGTGTTGATACTTTATGATGACCTATTTTCTTATAAAACCGGTATATTTATACCGGTTACATTGTAAATTTACATATTACATTATAATTATCGGTTTCGATTTTATTGGGATTAATAGTTTTAATAATTGTATCGACACTTTATGCGTGCACCTCGTTTGGGCATTCATTCTGAACAATAAGTACAACACAAATTACACAAGTGTCGATACATTATGTTGACCTGTTTTCTAATTAACCGGTATATGTATACTAGTTACATTGTTAATTTACATATTACATTATAATTATTGGTTTCGATGTTTTCTTGGGTCGATACTTTTAGAAAAAGTATCGACACATATTTAGGTAGTTATTGTACACACCTAAATATGTCACGCGAATTTAATGTACCCACCCTTCAACTACCACTACCACTACCAATACCACATCCTATTGAAAGCACGACTGAAACATGTTGAATGAACTTTACTTACATCTCCATCAACCCCGGGACCACTGAACTTGCACAACAATATTTTTTCCATGGATCATACTGATGCAGACAATGTTAAGCCAACCGAGGAATGCCATAAAGTACATAATGTTGATTAATCTGACAGATTGGTTGGTCAGCTCTTCTCTTCACGTGATCAAGCTTGGTACTTTTACAAGGGATTCGCACGGGAACATGAGTTTAGTGCACGTAAGGGAAAAACACGGCTTGACGTGGAAGGAAATCTGAAGACACAAGAATTTTGTTGTTCCAAAGAAGGGTTTTGAGTATCAAAAGACAATATTGTTGATCGTCAACGTGCTCATACGCCAGTCACAATAATAAGATGCAAGGCTAGAGTCGTAGTTGCAACAATAAATACAAACGATCACTGGGTTATAAGTAAGTCTTACTAGAAACATAATCATGCATTGTGCATACGTGCTATGACACCATTTATGCGTTCTAATAGAATTGTAAGTAAGGCTGATATCGATGAGGCAACAACATTGAAAGAGGTCGGTGTTGGCACGTCACAAGTAATGAACTATTTAACGCAGTAGGCAGTGGGCTATCATAATGTTGGATTTACACATAAAGACCTCTACAATGCACTTCAAAGAGGTAAAGTAAAGAAAATCGTTGATGGGGATGTGAATGCCCTTATTGCTTACTTTGATTATAAGAAACATGATGATCCCGGGTTTTTTATGACATATTCGGTAGACGAATCAGGGGCATTGCATAATCTTATTTGGTCGGATTCTACATCGAGATCAGATTACACATGCTTCAGTGATGTAATTGCGTTCGACACAACGTACAAAGATAATTTGTATGGTCGACCAATTATGCCTATTTTCGGTGCCATTCATCACCATAACATAATTGTGTTTGCCATTGTCATAATCGCTGATGAGACGTCCCAATCTTTTGAGTGGGTACTACATAATTTTTTAGAAGCCATAATGAATAAATCGCTTATTTCAGTTGTCACCGATGGGGATAGGGAAATGCAGAGGGCTATCAAATCTGTTATCCCTTATGCTAAGCACAGATTATGTTATTGGCATCTTTCTCGCAATGCACAAGCTAACATTGTTGACCCAAAATTTACAGCAATATTCTCAAAATGCATGGCTTCCTGGTGGACAACCGAGGAATCTGATATTCAATGGCATTCGGTTGTTTCAGAATTCAACGTCGAAAAACATCCATGGGTGATTGAGAAGGGAAATACTCGGCACGTATGGGCACAAGCATATCTAACCAGTCGTTTCTTTGCCAATATTTGCTCAAACAAAGGTGTGAATCAATGAATGCTTCACTAGCGATTGCACTGAAACACAATAAGACATATTTAGATGTTGTTCGTGCAATTGAAGATGGAAATAGTAGAATGCGTATGAACAAGTTGAAAGCGGATTACTTAAGTTCCCAGATGAAGCCCTTCCAAATCACAAAACTGGTCGAACTTGAAAGCTATGCTGTTGAGATTTTTACCCGCGAATCTTTTCTTGCGTTCCAAGATGAACTTCAATGGGAGACATTGTACTGGATTGAGGAAGAGATTTAGTCCTTATCAGATGAATGTTAACATATATTTTGACAAAGTACAAAGAAAAAAATAGGTCATTTGAAATTAGTTTTGATTCTCGTACGAAAACCCTAATTTGCTCATGTAAAAAATTCGAGACTGTTGGACTTTAGTGTCGCCATCAACTTCACATTTTGAAGCACGTGGATTACACATATTTGCCCGAGACTTTGATTCAAAGTAGGTGGACTAAGGATGCGAAGGATTCTGCACCCAGTTATGTTGACTTGAATGTGCCTCCAGAAGTGATGCAAATGACAAGGTTCGCTGCTCTACGTTCAACGTCAAGTAGGTTATGCTACATTGCATCAAAGACAGATGTGTCTTTCAAAACCGCAAGAGATGAGATGAAAAGACTACTACAATAATTTGAAAATTCGTTTGGTTTGAATGATTCAGTCAACCAGAGCAGTGTAGTAAACAACGTTCGCGACCCTTAACGAAAACAATGCAAGCGAAAAGAAGTACCGAATAACAATGTCTAGAAGAAAATTAGGCGATGTGGGTAATGCAACGGTGAGGGATAAATCAAACTAACATGTCATCAAGTTAAGTTCAGTTTGAATACGAGCACACAACCTACATCAACTGATTTTTTCGAAGACGGAATGGAATGGTCATTCAGTCCCGCACGTGATGACAACGATCTCCATATATCGTAAGTATCAACATGACTCCTATTGTGTATAAGAAACATATACAACAACCTATTGCTAACTTTTCTCATCTCATACATAATTAGATTCACATACAAAATTATAAATCGTATGTAACTTATACAAAAATAACCATACATTAACAAAATTTCCTCTCTTAGTCTATTTTGATTGTGGCTTACGAGACCGTTTAATATTTCATCCACATTATCACATAAATGCCAAACAATCTGTAGACTATAGTCTCCCGCAATCATGGTCGAATCAGTTCTGTAACTGGGATTATCCATGTTAATCATGTTAACTGCATAGCCAATAAAACTTGGGGGTCCAAATGGTAAGCTATGAATTGGTAAGGTAAGCTTTTTTTTAGGGTTTAGGGTTTCGAGCCCTCCAACGTAAGGAGTGCATGATTGAACATTACGTATAATAGTTGTATTCAGTTGTTGAAGAATTGTTCTTAATTATATATAAGGATAGTTGTTATGATATATGTTCACGTTTCGGGACCAATTAGTTAGATGCGTGCAGTAGCCTATTGTAACACCCCCAACCCATACCCGACCCGGATACGAGTCCGAGGTGTCACATTGACTTTTCAAACTTTGACTCTTGACAAAATTCAAAGAATATTTAAAGCTTTAATTAAAGTAAAAACAGTTTATTTACATAACTTGACCACAATAACTAAAATTAATCAGAGCATATTAACTTAATTCTTTAGTACATGCCAATTATATTCAAAATAACCAAAAATCATTTAAATCATCTATTTTCTGATCTGAAATTTGTAAGGGAGATGCTGACCTGTCTTGCTCTCTTAGATTTTCTTCTAGCTTTCCGAAACCTACTTGTGAAACACTCACACGCTAAGTCGATGACTTAGTGAGGCAAATAAAAATTATAATGCACTTGATAACATTTAACAATGCATGCAAGTTTCATTCTATCATGCTATACTAAATCAACTTATTTCATTATAGCATACAAAATCATATCAGATTACTTAACAAAATATACCTACATACACATAAAGCATCATCAATAGTTTATCTTTTAATCACATACTTTTATACTTAACCCCTTAATCAAACAATACACACACACACAACATTTATCATATCACAAACATATATTTGTTATTATCTTCTGATTAGCCCATGGACGTATGTGAGAACTATAGGTATGTGAGTCTATAGAGGTTGTGCACTAATGCTGTCACCACAACTTGTATAATTGCACCGAAGTGCCACGTAGACTTGTACCAGAGTGCCGCGTAGAATTGCACCGTAGTGCCATATAATAATGTCCATAAAGACCACATATCATTCCTTAAAATCATATAATATACTAGGGATCAAGTATGTGTCTCACAAGACTTCACACATGTTCCAAAGAATATATATATATATATATCCCGAAGGACCGCGTAGACCCTCGACTCTTGGCATGCCAACTATACCCCAAAGCTCTCAAGACACATAACATGGGCATTATCTTTTATATCCTTGCACATATTCATGTAAACATATCACAAATTCATATAAGCTCGTAGCTTCA